TTGCATGAGTTCAATGGGAGGTTGCAGCATTGCAGAAGGAGCTGCTTCTGCATACCTTTGACAATGAGAAACAGACCTTCTCATGGGACTGTGTCAACTCATTTTTGGTTGAAGGGACACAGAGAGTGATAATGCAGAATGTGCCTGTTATCTGGATGATATTAACCACAATTGCAGTTGGGGACAAGAGAGTGGTGTTACTGAAGGAGCATGCAATGAATAGGAAGCGGCATCAAACAATGTCCAGGATCCATACCTGGCTAGCTCCTTACTGCTATGGCAACATGAATGACTCACCTTCCAATTCAGGGCTGCATGGTGGCATTGTCTATGCTGTTGAGCTTCTGGAATCAGCAGATCAATCATGTCCAATCCATTCTTGGCACTCTGTTGTTTGCAATGAATACAAATCAGTCCACCATATCCATTCTGACTCACATTGGCCTTGTGGTCATACACAATACAACTCACAATCGACTTTGCATGGCTGCTGGGGCTGCATCAGAAAATTTGAAGGCCATCAGGCATGTGCCAGTTGAGAATAGGGTTTTGGTGCATCTGGTTTATGATAATCTCAACCAGTATCATCATAGCTGGTGACCATCACTGGATTCCTACTCATCCCTAGAGAGCGGTACCACAGCAACTCTGATTATTCAACAGGATGTGGATGATGGCGCTTTTGATGGAGTGGAATATGAACAGCAGAGATCACTCATTCAGAAGGAGCAGATTTCATTTGAAAAAATCTGGAATGACATACAGTTTGATCACTTGGCCACTATAGGAACAGTCAACATTCTCCACAACCTTCTTGTGTACATTCCTGGCCTGGAGCAACATTGTGGTGCAGTGCATCATCTACATCAACATCACTATGCAAAACATCTTGTCAGTCTTCAGAAGACTGAATATTACCCTATGGAGATAAGTGCATATGACGAGGCTCAAAATATCGGCAACAGGGAGGTCTTGAAGGATCTACTAGTTTGTCAGCTGGGTGTGCAGCCAGAGGAGTTGGAAGGAAGAATGATTTCCATATCTGGTGATTGCTCAACTGCTGCAAAACTCCATTCCCTCAAACAACACACATCTTGCAGGCTAACCTGATTTACCTCACATAAGTTTGCATTGGTGCTAACAGAACCATGGCACATGAAGTGGAGCTTTATCAAAGGAATTTTTCGACTTCACTGGGCACCTAGCACTGTGAAAGGAGATGGTGGTTTGTGTGTTGCTGCAGAAAAGCTTAGATGCAAACTCAATGCCAGTGATCCAGAGTTCTACCCTGCTAAACAGCTTGTAGAAACTGTTCTGACTACTATGACCCTGCACTATGCAAGGTATATTCCTTTATTTGATTCATTCCATAAAACTGATGCTGCTCGCTTTCTCAGAGTTTTACTTCAGCAGAAGGAATCATCTATATTTGTGTCCCAGCTCCATCATGCACCCCACTTGACTGAGGAACTCATCCTCCACTCTGAAAAGGACCATTTTTTCTACTCCTGCTTGTCAGGGGACGACTCCTGGGTCCCCATGACCCTCCCCTATGGTCCACAGCCCTATGTGTAACCAGCCCTATCCAGGGCACAACCTACTGTGGGTAAGGAGATGAGAAGGAAGCTAACTTCTCATCTTCCCACAGTGGCCACCATATCAGGAAAACTTCCGGAAATACCTGGAAGTCACATGAGGGCAGGATCTGGGGCCAGATCATGCAGTGCAGGAAGTATGCTGTCAGGGCACACCTGCCTGACCTGGGTCCATCTGGACCCACCTGGCCACACCTCACCCACTGCCCTGCTGCCCATCCCTCTCCTTCCTCCCTCCTCCCTCTTTCCTTCTTTCTTTTCTCTTTTTCTTCTCTTTTCTTTACTTCATTCTTCCCATCATTCTCTTCCTGTTTATTCCTTCTATCTACACGAACCACTTTCCTTTGTATCAATGTACTATTGACCCATCCGGCCCAGACACCCTGGATGGCTTCCCACTGTGCCCAGCATGCGCGCCTGCAGCAGATGCTCTCGGGATCCCCCACAGGACACCTGGATGGCTGCAGCTGTCTCTGAGGATGACATGGCACCCGTCATGTGACTCAAGCCACATGTACATAAATGTACCTGAAGTGGGAACTGAAGAAGTAACCTTCTTCTCACCTTTTCCACTTCAGTCTGAGTGGCCAGGGACTGCTGTCCCTTTCCGGACCCGCCAGTATGCACACCCAGTTTACACCCTGCAAGGGCCCCTCTGCCAGGCACTACACCCAGACTCCCTCTACCCCGGATGCATCCCTGACATACACATGGGAAGTATAGCGGGTCCGGGCTAGTCAGGGTGTGTGCCCTGACACTGCTCTTTCGAAGAGCTTCATGGACTAGCACAAAGCATCTACACTGTATTTGCTTCCTCACAATCCATGTACATGGCTCTTTATCACAATGCTCATGAATCTCACACATATTTCCACCAATACATTGACCCCATGAAAGACTCACTCTACCCCATCCCCCAAGAAGCTTCAGCTGCCCACACCCACACCTATAGCAGTGAAGGAGACTCAGACAATGAATCGGAAGATGGTTGTCAGGGACCGACCCGGGGTCGAGAGCGCCCGGGTGTATCGCCCGAGGCTGAGGGTCCGGTAGGTATGACGTGGGCGCGCATAGCAGCGGGCCCGAAGCAGGCAAGGGTCCCTGGCCACTAAGACTAAAGTGGGAAATGTGTTATTGTCATTATCAAGGGAAGTGTAAGCTACTTGCCTAAAGTGGGAAATGTGAGAAGAAGGTTGCTTCTCAGTTCCCACTTAGGCTGTGTTTATATACATGTGGTTGAAGGCCATGTGGGAAGCGCCACGTCATCCGAGCACACAGCCACCTCCATCTGGGTACCTCCGTAAGAGGTCCTAGGAGCGTCCGGTGTGCGGGGGTCGTCCGGTGTGTCCGGGTTCGGGCGCGTTACACTGCAGCCAGGTCAATGGTACATTGATACAAAGGAAGTCGTCCGTGTGATAAGAAAGGAATAAAGAGGAGAGAGAATAGAAAAGAAGGAGAGGAAGGAAGGGAAGGGAGAAAAGGGGAAGAGGGGGGAGGTCGGGAGGAGTGGATGGTGGGGCACCGGGTTAGGTGGGGCCGGGTCAGGCGGGCGTGCCCTGACAATGGTATCTCTTTCTTATCTACAGGGGAGAGGGTCACAAGCAGCAATGACCCCGAGAGTCTTCATTGTTTCAATGATACCCCAAATACTTGAAGCTCCAGGCTCGGATACTGTCAGGGCACGCCCGCCTGACCCGGCCCCACCCAGCCCCACTTCACCCGGTACCCCGCCACCCAGTCCTCCCCTACCTCCTTCCCCCTTCTTCTTTCTTTCTTCCTCCATTCCACTCTCTCTTTACTTGTCTCACCTTCTCTTTATTTTCTCTTTATTCTACACGGACGACCTTTCCTTGTATCAATGTACCATTGACCCACCTGCAGCGCGCTCATGACACGCCCAGCCCAGGCGCCTCGGGCGACCCCCGCTATGTCCAGCTTGCGCACCCACAGTGGACGCCCTCGGGATCTCCCACGGGGACACCCGGGTGACTACGGCTGTATGCGAGGATGATGTGGCACCCATCATGTGACCTAAGCCGCATGTATATAAACATACCTGAAGTGGGAACCGAAGAAGTAGCCTTCTTCTCACCCTTTTCCACTTCAGGTAAGTAACATAGTATCCCCTTTTAATAATAATAACACCCTTTTCCACTTCAGTCTAAGTGGCCAGGGACTGCCTCCTGAGCCAGGCCCGCCAGTACGCACGCCCGCTCCACACCCTGCGAGGCTTCTAGTGTCGGGCGTCTCACCCGGGCCTCCTCTACCCCGGACGCGTCCCTGACAGATACTCATGGTGATGTGCTGCTTTTCAACAACATCTTACTCTACCGGGACATGCTCCTGTATCGGGAGTTTAGGACCAGCATTAAGGATGGCGATGTGGGGAGAACATTTGAAGTAATAAAGGTTAGTATTTTGGGTTTTTTTCCCACATTCATTGTTAACTTGTCAGCAGGATAGTGGCTTTGTATCTGTCAGGGACGTGTCCAGGGTGGAGGGGGCCCGGATGTAATGCCTGGCAGAAGGACCCTCTTGGGGTGCGAAGTGAGCATGTGTGCTGATGGGCCCAATGTGGGACTGCAGTCCCTGGCCACTTAGACTGAAGTGGAAAATGTGAATTGTCATTAAAAGGGAGAACTACACTACTTACCTGAAGTGGAAAATGGTTACTTCTTCAGTTCCCACTTCAGGTACATTTATGTACATGCGGCTTGGGTCACATGATGGGTGCCACATCATCCTCGGAGAGAGCCGCAGCCATCTGGGTGTCCCTGTGGGGGATCCTGAGAGCGTCCACTGCAGGCACTGTAGGAGAAATAACGGTCACACTATGGAAACCCATTATGGAAATATGCCAGATAAATGCAAAATTCAAAGTCGTGTTTATAATAGGAAATGTAGATGTCTCACAAACGGACCCAATGAAAGTAATTACAGGGAAAACTACCCATAAACGACGGAGATATGACCAAAACTCTCGGAAAACAAGGACAACGTTTAAAAGGCAAGCGCGAAGAACAAGCAGTAACGACCGAGACGAGCTTGATAGCCCATTAGAAAGGAAGGGATCTAATCTTAATCCACCCAAATTTTCATAATAAAAGGATGACACATCAATGAGATATCCAATAACGGGAAGAGTGACATCAAAGGTCTGGGCTCAGGGAAAAGACGATGTTTACGTAGGATCCATATTCAAAACACACAACCAAATTCACACAGAAATTATGATAAATAGGAAACTATAGTTATGCCAATTTTTGTCAGAGTACACCCACTTCCGGCTACTTCCAGCCTACTTACCATCATGATCTGATTCCATGATCTATGATCACCAAGATTCAATGATCCATGATCCCTGTACAGCCTTATGATCTGATCCCACTCCAAGATCCATGTTCCATGTTCCATGATCCAACACAGCCAGACAAACCTGGATCATTGATTGTTGGTATGTACAGTGCCTCATAGATTAGCTGTGTGTGTGGGCTACAGTATATTACACCCTGAGTAGCGAGCAGGAAGACCAGCTTTCTTCTCTCATTTCCCCTTGCTGCTCAGGTATGTTGTACATAGTAACATAGTGGCTGGAATACAACTCATTTCCCCTCGCTGCTCAGCTGGAGCCTGTGTCGCCTAGCACACCTCGCAGTTCTCCTATTGAGACCGACCCAGACCTTCCTAGTCTTACCTCCACTTCCACTGGATCTCTTGACCTTAGCTCCGAGCAGCTCGGTATCCTGACAATTTTCAGCTCAAATGGTCCAGCCATTGTGAAGTTATACCAACGACAGGAATATAGAAATCCGCATCATGTTTAAAGACACATGAGGGTGGTGATGCAAAGGGAACTGGCTGTTGGAACCAAGATCCGCACTTTGGCAGATTGCGAAGACCAATTTCCATCCAAATAAGGAAGACCCCAGTCAAAACAAAGCACAGAAAGTACAAAACAACCTTAGATCATGAGGGAAAAATCTGAAATAAATCACGGAAGCCTGTATAAAGGATACAAACACCTGAGCATACCATAAATCCCAAACAATTAAACAGAAATGGTGCCCGCATACGAACGACTATGGGAACGATGCACATGATTACCGAATGTGTGCACAAACTTTTGCTAACTTGATGAATACCAAGAAATAGAATACAACTTTAGTACCATTGGAAAGGTGGGAATAAATGAAAATTTATGATACCGAGAATGTGAAAAACCATTCAGAAATGAATGAGATACAAGGACATGAAGTTAGAAACCTGAAAATGCATGGGAAGACAGCTTCTAGAGGTCCTAAAATACATAAAAATATGATATCTTTGAGGACGACCTACTATAACAATGAACAATACATATGGAGGACTAGGATGTAATAATACAAAGGGGAATCAGGGCAGATGGATGAAATCCACTGTCAGGGTTCAGCACCCTGCCCTAGGGTGCTGTGAGGTCTTAGGGTGGCTCAGCACACAAGGCCGTAAGTGATACAAGATAGTGTATTTTACGGTGGTGTGTAAGCAGTTTCCCAGAGGTTCCCGCTTGCCCACATGACTATATGTATCTAATTTACATGTGACTCGGGGTTCGGGGCTATTGCCCTGACATTCTCCCCCCTTGCGTTGCATTTGCGATGCATACAAGGTTGATAGTGAATAAAACAGAGTATTAATAGTTGATTTACATTGAGTTTGGAATTATCAATGAGTGTGTTGTTGTCGCCACTTTAAAGTGGGCGATTTTGTACATGGGGGTTTAAGGAATGAATGAGTGTGGGCCGTTACTTTGAAGTGAACGGCGATACATTGGTATCACAGGGAGAGAAGAGAAAAAAAAAGTGGAGTTTGTCGAAAATGAATTTCGACCCAAAGGTTGTATGTCTTTGGTGTTCCTCACTTGTTCTGTGAGGGTTCGTGTGTAAGTGGTGTTTACACACGAGTGGTGGTGGATGTAGGTCTTTTGATGGAGTGGAGATTTCTGCAATTGTTACTTGCGGTTCCTCGCATACAGTATTGTGTGCAGGGCCTCGAGTTGGGGGAAGGTGTTTTCACGGGTGCCTTGATGGCGTATTACCGTGTCACTTTCCCTTCTCTCAAGGGTGGATTCATTGCCCCGGAGGAGGGTTTTCCTCCAGGTTGTTCATCTGGACATCCGATTGCTGCGTCGGATGCGATGATGTAGCCTGGGCTACATTGTCGGGCTGTGGGCTCGACGAAGTGGGTGCTCCCTGGGTGGGAGCGGGTTGTTGTGTTCCTGAGCTGCTTGACTCAGGTGTAGAGTACGGTAGGTCTACCGTTCTTCCCATGGGGAAGGATGGTCGTTGGGCTGGTTGTCCAGCATGGAGACTTGCGTCTCTTTCCCGGTATTTGGAAGCTTTCACTTCCCGTTCCGCAGTTCTTGCGGCATGTTCCTCAGGAGTCCTGAGTGGTTTGAACTGGGACTTTAAGTAGGCAGCTTTGCCTAGACTTTCCCAGGAGATTTTCCCCTTATTCTCTGGGGAATTATATTCCTCCGCAAGTCTTGCAATACTTGGGAGTCCCAAGAAGTATTTCTCGGTTTCCTTTGCTTTTTCGCAAAGGGTTCTATGTACCTTGCCGCTTTTGAAGGCGGCTTCGGCCTGTTCGTACCAGTGTACGAATTCTTTCCCACTCATGCTTGTCCACCAAGCGTATGCGGTGTCATGCGCCGCTTCTGACCCCACTATTCTCCTCATGGGGAAGTTGGGGTCGATTGTTATGTCGACTGGAGCTTCGACTTTGCCGAACTCGTTGAGTTCGGTGGTCTCATATAGCATGTGGACACTTCCCTGCAGGGTAGCTTGCCCATAGCTGAGGTACTCAGCGGCCTGCCGCCTCTGGCAGTGGTCCCCGTTTTAGGGTCTGCCGTCGGTTGCCTACCGCTCTCCCTCTTCCCCTCGACATGGGTTTGCCCCTCTGAGGGCGGGCCCTTATGCAACCCGGACAGGGTCGCCTGCCCACGGGGTGGCGGGATAGTCAGTGCCCCACCCCTTGATGCGCTAGTCCCCATGTGGGGTTGCACCTCATGAGGCCCGGAACCGTATCCCCTCCCCCTGACCTGGGAGGCCCCCGTCATGATGGGTTTGGCAGCAAGGTCTGCCAGTGCACGTGCCTCTCTGAGCTCACGTTTCAGTAATTCGATCTCCCATTTTTGGAGATCGACTTCTCTCTCTGTGTCTTTCAGAGAGTCAAAGATGCCCTCAGCATCTCTTCGTGCTCTGTTGTATTCGCGCCTCCAGTGGGCGCAATGGTCGCAGGCATCTTCTGATGCCCTCGAGTTATCAGACCATGCCCATTTGGACGGTCTGGACGAGGAGCCGCTGTCGCTCCCTCATCTCCCTCCTATGAGGGACTTCATCTCTTTCAGCTCCTCATGGAGCTGACCTGTCTGAGCAGCTACCGCTGACGCAATGGCTGATTCCCAGCCTGCATTTGGCTGGGGTGTTGTTGGACCTGGGCCGAATTGGCCAATCCAGGGGTTGATCTGGCCAGGGAAGTTCCCTTGGGAGTATGCCTGGGGCTGCAGCAGCAAATGCTGCCCCTGGAATGGCGCTTGTTGCGCCATTGGTGCAGTTTGCACCGTGTATGGTTGGAAGCCTCTTTGGGGAGGCTGGGGGTATGCAGTGCCTGTTAGCAACGTGGATGGTTGTTGGTTCGCAGCACTCATTTGTGCTGCATGCATTGTGTAATCCATGGTGCTTATCTGCGCCTGGTGTTGTTGTTGTTCCAGGGAGCCTTGCTCCCCAGGTTGTCGTATTTCGATATCCGGTGGTTTGTTTGGATTGAACCGAGGGTTGCCTCCCCCAGAGAACGACATTTCGTTGTTATGTTACTTGTGGTGGTGGGAGGGGTTTTCGTTCTTGCATGCATGGGATTCGCTGCAGTTGTGTGTTCTTTTGCATGTGAGCCTGTGGTTCATGTGGTCTAGGCGAGTTACTCGCCTAGCCCATGTGATCTCTAGTACATGGTGTGGCTGTCCGGGTGAGTTACTCGCCCAGAACTTTCCCACGCTCTTGGCTGTGGGCCATTGTCCCTCAGCTTTACTTCCTCCGCCTCCATTTTTGGGGGCGTAGTGATGCCGAGAGTTCCCTGTCTTCTTTGATAGGGAGTTTTTCTGGTTCCCTTACATTTTGTAAGGTGAGGTACTCATCCAGGTGGACGAGGTTGTTGCAATTTCCTAGGGGTTCCCATGTGGTGTCCCCTAGTTCCCATTTAACCTTAAACCAGAGTTCGTTGTGAACCCACGTGTGGTTTAGGATTTTGCGAACTACTGCTTCGCGATCGGGGTCTTCCCCAAAATCGTAGAATATGTTTACTTCCCTATTTGGGAAGGTTTCCTGGTCATTCGGCTCGTGAGGTGCGAGCCGGGATACATGGAATCTTGGGTGGATTCCGCGTTGTTCAAGTTGTGGTGGTAACTTGAGGATGTAGTTTGACATTTCTGGAAATGTTTCCAGAATTTTGTAAGGCCCTATGTATAAGGGCTTTAGTTTTCCTGCCCTCCCTTTGGGTAGGTTCAGCTTATCCGTGGATAAGTATGCAAGCTCACCTTTTCTCAAAGGCGGGTCCGGGCGTCTTTTCTTATTCGCCTGGATTGTTTGAGCAGCGCAGTTATGTATTATCGCATTGTGTGCTGCCATGAGGTGTTCCTTCGCTTTTTGAGCGAAGTCATTTACTCCCGGATAGTCCGAGAGTGGTGCTGTTAGGCACATCTTTGGCATATGGCCGTAGATTAATTCGAACAGGGCAAATCCTGTCGATGTGTTCGAGCTCGCATTGATCGCGAATTCCGCCATCGACAGTTTCGCTGCCCAGTTGTGTTGGTCTGGTCTAACCATCGCACGTAGTATTTGTACTACTGTTTGTATCATTCTTTCCACTTGGCCGTCACCTTGTGGGTGGAATGCAGTTGTGAATTTCAACTGTACACCGAGTATTCGGTGTAGTTTGCGCCAAAATTTTGTGTGAATTTTGAGTCTCGATCTGATATGATCAAGTGTGGTAGGCCGTGGAGTCTTACAACTTCACAAAGAAATACGAATGCTAGTTCTAGTGCGTTCGTTGTTGTCTTTATTGGAATTAGGTGGACGTTGTTGTGGGGACAACTCCGTGTACCGCAAAAAGTCGGATTCTGTGGAATTTGGCCACCAACATATACCACATACCCTCTGACGCTCCCGATGTTCATTCTAACACTATCTAACACTCCACAAACTCATTCCTTATTTTTCCCTATTTTCCCCATCATTCCCGACAACCCCAAGCAAAATTCCCACGCCAAACCACGCCGCCAATTTCACCCCCTCTCCAGATCTCCATACCTACACATACTACCCAGCCGTTTTTCCACCCGATAGTGATGCTCTGCCTTCCTTCTTCACCCCCGGAGCATTTCCCAGAATGGTAATCCCATGCCCGGATGGTTCAGCACGGAGTAGAGTCTCACGTGGTCTTGACAGTACCTGTCAATGGCCACATCTCAACAACTACTGCACCAAATGGGACGAATAGGGGCTCGTTGGAAAGCTGGAGACGAGGAGGTTGCTGACGGGAGGATAGGCGGGCGCTGTGGCGAAGCGTTGCGGAGTTAACTTTTACATTTCCCATTTCGGACCCGTTATGATATATCCCCCATTCATTCATATTTCTTTTATTGTTTCTTTGTTCCCAATTGGATATTCATCATTTACGGTTGCCTAACGGCCCGTTTACATTCCCCCAGTCCATTCATTTCATTTCAAACATATAAAAACTAGATAACAGCTTGTACATAACAAGTTAGTATTGAATAGACCCGTGAAGGGAC